GGAAAGGAGAGAGAGAGAGAGAGAGAGAGAGAAAGAGATTAAAGAATTGGCTTAGATGCCCAGCTGGCATGGCTTAGTGGTTGAGTGTCAAAGAGTGTCAAACTATGAAACCAGGAGTCACAGTTCGATTCGCAGTCAGGGCACATGCCTGGGCTGTGGGCTCGATCCCCAGTGCGGGGCGTGCAGGAGGCAGCCGATCAATGATTCTCTCTCATCACTGATGCTTCTATCCCTCTCCGCCTCTCCCTTCCTCTCTGAAATCAATTAAAATATATTAGAGGGCCAGCCGGTGAAAGATAAGGAAGACCGGACGTGTGCAATGTCAAGGAAGGCCAGGGAGCAGTGTTTCTAGAAAGGGGGGGTGGTGGTGGAATACGGCCAGTGAGCTCAGCGCGGAGAACATGAGGATGCAGCAGCTCGCAGGTCACGCTGACCCGGTGCGAGCTGTTTCAAGGCGGCCTCATTGGACTGTGCTGCAGGGACGTGTCAGGTGGGGAAGCAGACAGGGGAGGGCCCTGCCAGCGACGGAGCAGGGGAAGCTGGCAGCTAGAAGGGAGTGCGGTCAAGCCGGGGTCTCAAACGGCGGCGCAGGGGCTGTGACACTTCGCCTCCAAGTCCACTTGGAGCGACTCAACGTACAAACAGAGTAACTGTTGCCGCGCCTGAGCGGTGCCTGTCTCCTCTTCCCTAGGTGTCGCAGCGGCCTTCCTGTCGAGGGTTTGCCGAAATCACTGGTGAGATCCTGTGTCCCCGGGACGTGTCTTCCCAACGCCTGACTCAGTCCTCCCAGCCCCCCTTTCAGCTCTGCCCCCCCGTGGGCCTTTCCGTGGGGGAAATACCCTGTTTATTCCTCCGGGATGCTTTCTTGATTAATGACTGTCAGGCAGCACACCCTCCCCACCCCGCTGAAGATATAGAGCAGCGGTTCTCAACCTGTGGGTCGCGAGCAATGACAATACATCCTGCGTATCAGATATTTACATGACGATTCATCACAGTAGCAACATGACAGTTATGAAGCAGCAACGAAAATAATTTTATGGTTGGGTCACAACATGAGGAACTGTATTTAAAGGACCAGAAGGTTGAGAACCACTCCTCTAGAGGCTGAGGCGTGGAAGGACTCGCCGAGTGACCCATCTTGTCCTACCTCGGAGGGTGGGGCCAGGGCATCTTGGGGGGCAGGGGCAGCTCTGGTGTCTCCAAGACTCCGTCTCCTGCTCTCCAGCTTATTTCCAGCTCACCCCCAAAGCTCCCGGTGACCCCCGAGAGACAGCGAGACGGAGGACACCCTTATTTGCAGTCCCCATGGAAATGAGGTCAGTGGAGGGGCGCAGGGCCCACCAGAGCAAGCGGCGCCTGCAAGCAGCCTTCCGTCCCTAGAGGGTGGTAGGGGTGGTCCCCGTGCGGGAGTTAAGTTCTCAGGAGCTCCGGCACCAGACCCACAGGGACCTACGAAAATCTGTGTCCGTTTTGGGATGGTGAAGGCCTGTGACTGTCCCCATCCCCGGGTCCCAGGAGGCCATCATGCCCACCACATCGTCTGCTTTAACAGTGGACACCACTCGTCATGTCAGAGATGCCGGGATCATCTCGGGCGGGAACATGCTGTAGGACGAGTGGTTTGTGTTTTTCCACCGCAGCAGGTCCGCCTTGCTGACCACACGGTGCCTCAGGGGATGGAGTTGGTGGGTGGGAGGCGGGAGTTAGGCAGGAAGTAGACACAGGAGGAGCGATTTGGGGATTGAAAACGGGTCCTGGGTTTTGGACAGTCCACCCCTTGCTTCAGGTCGTGGGCCCAGTGAGGGCCGACCTGTCTGTGGGAGCCTGAGTGTGTGTTTGTGTTCCTCCTGGACCCGCCCCTTCCCAATCTCCTCCTCCCCCTCTCCTTCTCCCTCCCCCCTCCCTCCTCCCCCTGCCCTGGTTATGTACTCATCCCCTCCCTGGAGGGGTGGACCTGGCCCAGGGTGACCCTCCTGCCTGGCCCTGCCCCGCATCCTCCAGGACCAGGTTGGTCACCTTGTTCTCTCGCTCACCCCGTGTCCCACGGCTCTTCCCCCAGAGGCTCCTTCCTGGTGCCGCTCCTGAGGGAATGCTTCCGCGACCTGGGCTGGCTGGCCACCATCTGCCACACGGGCGGGGACGTGGGGCTGCTGGTGACCAGTATTGTCCCTCGGACCCCGTTCTTCTGGGCCATGCACGTCACGGAGGTATGGGCTTGTTGGTGGCCCGCGTGGGCTCAGTGCCTCCTCGCAGAGCCTTCCCGGGGTGGGTGTGGTGATGGGCCGGCGGCGTCCAGACAAGCGCGTTCTAACCCCCGGGTCCTGAGTCTTCCTCTCCCGCCTGGACCTTGGTTCCCTGGGGGCCGATCAGTGGTGCTGGCCTAGCAGGGGACGTCTGCAGAGCCAGGTGTGGGACGTGCTGCAGGCAGTGAGGCCCGTGCATGTGTGCCCCCTGCAGACTCTGCACCAGAACATGCAGGTGCTCTTCAGCACCCTGGCCGAGGCGGAGGGGCAGCAGCCCTACCTGCAGGACGCAGCCGTGCAGCGCGGGGCCCGCTGCCTGGCCGAGTACCACCTGGGCACTTACGGCTGGGCCTGGAACAGGTATATGCCCGGCAGGGGTGGACGGCCTAAGGCTGGACAGTGTGAGAGAGGCCGGCGGACAGCCACTCCTTCCCTTCTCCCTCCTCGGGACTCTGGTTTCTTTCTTGCTGCTTCCTCTCCCGAGATCTGTGACTGTATGATCACTTCTCTGCCCGAGGAAGGGGAGAACGAAGGAAACTCTGCTCTGTTACCCTTGACCTCTGAGCCTCTTTGTGAAGGACCACCGTGCATGCCGCCAGGTGGCACAGCCCTCCGTTCCTCCCTCCCCTGGCCAGGTGCTGGGTAGTGGACAGGGTGGATACCTGGGCTGTGGTCCTGTTCGTCGACTTTGGGCAGTCGGCCACCGTCCCGGTGCAGTGTCTGCGCAGCCTGGATAGTGATGACTTCTGGACCATCCCCCCCCTGACTCAGCCTTTCATGCTGAGGAAAGGTAAGATGCCCTCCGACCCCGACCCCCCCTCCCCCAGGCTCAGGGGTGGGGGATGCTGTGTCTGCCTCCAGGACCTCAGCAGGGGAGGGTGTGGGGGCAGCCAAGGCCCTCAGGGTACCCTTAAGCCTCTAGTCATTTGATCTTTCCCCGGTTTTTGGCATCTGCCTCTTGCAGAGCTGCCTCTTGGGTATTAGTTTTCACACCTGGGCTCCGTGGGCCCCAGCAGGTGCTGGCCAAAGGCTTAGCTCTCAGGGTGCAGGGAGGGAGGGCAGGCTTCTCACCCCTGCTTCTGTCAGCGCTGCTCTGTCTAAAGCAGTGGTTCTCCACCTTCCAAACGCCGTGACCCTTTAACACAGTTCCTCATGTTGTGGTGACCCCCAATTTCATTGTCACAAATTGAACATAATTAAAGCATAGTGATTAATCACAAAAACGATATGTAAATATATATGTGTTTTCCGATGGTCTTAGGCGACCCCTGTGAAAGGGTCGTTCCACCCCCAAGGGAGTCTCAACCCACAGGTTGAGAACCGCTGGTCTAAAGGAACAACAGAAGGCCCCGAGTCCAGTGCCTTCCACCTAACCATTTGTTTTCAGATTCTAGTTTTCTGTAACAGAATCCTTTCCCAATGAAATCTTAAGCAGAACCCAATGTACATAAAACCAGTGAAAGCGGAGCGACTCCGTGAAAGGATGAAAGAATGCTTTGGAGGATCAGGAGAAGCAGAGGTGAAGACAGACAGACAGACACACTCACTCCCCAAGTGTAGGCGCAGGCCCCCTCACCCCTTGGGAGGCTGAGGGGAACAGTGCCTAGTGGTCAGGAGCACCACCCACAGGTCATCTTGGGTAATTGCCCAGCCTGGGGGGAACGGGTCCAGGGCTCTGGAGTTGGGGGCAGGCTGAAGGGGACTGTGTGAGTGTTAGGGGCCAGAGTGCCCAGCCCAGACATGGCGGTGCTGAGCTCCCTCCTGGACGTGGAGATGGCCCGAGAGGTCAGGCAGGCGGTGGACAGTCCTCCCCAGATGGATGAGGAAAGCAAAGCTCCAAAAGGTGAAAGGAACTTCCTCACCTCTCACAGCAAGGAAGGGGCATGGCCGGGGGTGGAAATGAGGTCCAGCTTTAACATGGTCAGTCTCATGCGCGGACAGTCCCGGATTCGGAGGTTGGCAGGACAGCAGGGGCTGACATTTTGACCAGCGGCCTGCCCTGCCTCGTTCCAGCATGTATACATGCTCATGGTGGGAGCATCTGCTTCTGACTGCTATCCCTCTAGCCCAGATGCTCAGAGCAGAGAGGATGAAGTTTCTGTCCCCAGAATTCCCCATTAGAGAATGTGAAATCTCCCAGCTGACATGGCTCAGTGGTTGAGCTTCGGCCTGTGAACCAGGAGGTCACAGTTTGATTTCCGTTTGGAGCATATGCCCAGGGTGCAGGCTTGATCCCCAGTGTGGGGTGTGCAGGAGGCAGCCGATCAATGATTCTCTCCCATTGATGTTTCTCTCTCTGTCTCTCTCCCTCCCTTCATCTCTGAAATTTAAATACATATATAAAAAAAAAGAGAATGTAAAATCACAGGTTCATGTAATTATTCCAGTAACAGTAATAATGTCCCCTCCTTTTATATATTCCTCGTGCACCCTCCCCCTTGCCAGCTTTATCTCATTTATCCTGCAGCAGGGAGTTAGCCCTGACTAGCAGAGACTTGTAGGAGCTGCTCTGCATTTTCCCGAGGCCCGGCCTCCGTCTTCCCTCCCTTGCTCCTCCTGCGGACCCCGTGCCACCAGGGCTTTGTTGTTGTGTGTTGTGTTTCGTTTCGCAGGCACTCTGAGTTCCTATCAGCAGACCCATCACATCCTCAAAGGGAGAATCACCGGCGCTTTGAACTTGGAGGTAACTGCCCCGGTATCTCACTCAGCCCTGCTCCCTCTCCTCCCACCCCAGGTCTCAGCTGCGGGCCCGTGGCCAGGCCTGGATTGCGGATTTATCTGGCATTCCCTTAGAGGCTTAGACAAAACAACCTGAAGTTACCCAAGGGGTCGGGTAGACTGGCAGCTGTGGTCCTTCCTTTCCACTGAGACTTACTCTTTCTCTTGCAGCCACAAATCCTGAAGTTCGAAGAGTTAAGATGATGTGGCTGGCATCAGCTCCCTCCCTCCTTTATGTATTCTTCGTGCCCCCTCCCCCCTCCCCTCCCCCTGCCTGCCCTGACCTGTGTCCCCCTTCCACTCGCAAGGCCACACTGGTGCCCAGGATTGATTTGCATTTGCCTTTACCCTCAGTTCCCCTCAGAAAAGTCTCAGATTTGTCATGTGCCTTCAGTTCCCCACCCAGCACGGACATTTGAACCAAACCTAGAAAGCCTACATGGGAAGCTTCAGGCGGCCATGTATTTATTTTCTGTCTTTTGTGTGTGCCCCCAGAGCACGATATAAATTGCTCTCACAGATTCTGGAGATTCTGGAGAATGGAAGGGCCCCCTGCTTTCTTTTCCGGGGATTCCATGGTAGAACCAGGTGGGGAACACTGAACCAGTGAGCCATCCCCATGGAGAATAAACGTTGGCACGGTTCACGAGTTTGGGTGATTGATTCCTGTCTGGCCACCTCTCCCCAGCTCTGCCCTCCCCTCCCCACGGCAGCGAGGTGAGCTGTCTCAGGCCCTTACTCAGCTCTGGCTGCGGGCTCTGGGCTGGGCAGACCCTACCTGGATGGAGATTCATTCACACCTGAGGTGTAGGATGCTGACCTCAAAGAGCTGTTTCACTTCTTGCCTTAGAAGGAAATTGATTCACAATATGGCTTTGATTCTCCCATGATTGGTAACGCCATGAGAACCCTAAACTTAAGGTCATAAAGGGAATATTAGGTTTGACAAGAAAAGTGGGGGGTTCTCTGAGAGTTGCTGTACAACTCACAGGAGCTGGTGCCTCCCTTACGGCAGGGGAACAGGGACCCCATTATTTCTTTAAAAAAATTGATTAGAGCCAAACTATTTAAATAACTTTATTTGTTTCATCCTTTGGTAGATGAGAAAAATACATTACAAAATACATTATACAGAGGACAGCTCACAGTACACATTACTAAAAACACAATCTACATTTCAGCCAGGGCTGGTGATAAGTTCAGAAGAAAGCCACAAAGGCCTTGAAAACCAGATTTCCGCTCTATGGAATAAGTTTGCCCCTAAGGTCCCCACTTTATCTAAACTTTAGCACCCCGTATCAGGTGGGTGTGGGTAGAGTTAGAGCAGCATTGAGGGGGACTGTTGAACTCTCCATCCACCTGAAGCAGCAAGACATTAATCCCTTAAAAGAAAAAGGGGGGAAATGACCAATGTTAAAGCATTACAGAACTGACATCCTATAGGCGCCCAGGCAGCGCTCTCGATTCTGGGCTAAGACTAGCATCGTCACTGAGCCATCCCTGGCTTCTGTTATTGCGGTCATCACCTAGTCTGCGGGCATAGTCTGTCCCTCTGAGCCTGTCTCAACCCCAGCGCAAACTCACTGACGGGAGGCAGGCAGCACGCGTCAAACACAGACCTCATACCCTTCCTTTTAAACAGCATGTACAGACAACACAGCACTGACGGTTCTAGCCCCGCAGACTTCCTACCTCACTCTCCCCGCCCCAGCAGTTCCCAGAGCCTGGGGTGGGGACACAGGTGTACACAACAGCCCCCTTAAAGCTCACCTTCCCAGAGGACCCATCTTATGGAAGTGGCTTGAAAAGAATCCACAATTTTTCAAGCCAAACAATCTCAGAGCTAGACCTGTTTTCTCTTATGAGACCAAGGGAAGTGAGAGAGAGGAGGGGTGAGCAAAGAAGCTAGCCGGGAGCCGTTTCCCGGGAGGGAGGGATCGGCGAACACCAGCGTTGTGGCATACAGAGCCTACTGCTGAGACCGGAGGCCGAGTACACACGAGACTGCCTCCATCACCACTCAATTCATTTAAAAGCAATTCCATGAAACAGCAGCCTGGTAAGCCTCCTTTCCCATTTCCTTGTTCTTAGAAATTTGAAAATATCTGCAAGTAGAAGAGAAAAGTCGTCCTAAGAATTAAGGTCATCATTTCAGCCTGCTACACCGTGGCTCAGCAGGGCAGGCTCTGCATGCCAGGGGGACGAGTGCTGGTCGCTCCAGAGGCCTTCAGACGGAATCCACCTTCCTCTGGCTTTAGCAGTGAAGTGCAGCCTCTCATCTCGACCCCTCCCCCACCACCCAAATAGTTTCGGGGATGGGGGTGGGGTGGATATGGGAACAAAAAGAAAGATGAGTCAAGACCAGCATCTTCAAATTAACAAACTGTAATTGTTTTCCCAAAGATACATTTTTTTCATACACATCCATCATACACTGTAACCAAAAAAAGCAGTGTACATGAAATAAGAGAAAATAAATTAAAAATCCATAGCATAGGTAAGGAGGCTCTAGTCTGGAGCACAGCTGAGTTTCCAGCAATATAAGGAGGCTCAAAAGTTTCTTTTATAAGAATGCCTGCTAGCAAGGGTTCCAGCCAGGTGGTTGGTTGGTCTGTAAGTCAGTCTTGAGTACTTGAAACAGTTCGGTGTTGGTTTTTTCCTTAGCGTTTAGAATAGCCATCATTGTCCTGCAATAGGCAGAGCTATCACGTCCAGGAAAAATGAGGGAGGGAACCACAGAGGCAGCGTGAGATCCAAATACAGCATTCAAAGGTAATTGGTCCAGTGGTGCCTGGGGAGGGAGGAGGGGGACGGCGCTCCCGGGTTAGCCATCTTCCTTTGGGGGTGTGTACCAGCCTGCAAAGAAACCCAACAGTGAGGCGGAGGCTGAAGTCCCTGCTCCCAGCCCTGATCACTGAAGACTCCAGGATGACAGGTGGAATGACCCTAGGCAGGGCTTCCAGTGTGGGGAGAGGGGCAGGGAGACTGCCCACCTGGAGGGCATAAGCAAGGGGAGAGGCTGTGCCCAGCCCGAGATGACAGGGTGAGGTGAGCTTCCTCACAGGGTGGTCGGGAAGGGGCAGCACCGAGTCCACATGGGGTGTGATGGCTGGTGCTTGTCTGGAGAGGAGGCCGTGGAGGTTAGCCCCCTCTAGCCCTTGCCTGGGTAGCGGGCAGGTGCTGTGTTAATGGGTGATAAAGGCTCAGAAACCAGAAGGGGGTCCTTGCTATTTGGCTGGAAGGGAAAACCTCAGGCCTTCCGAGTGTCCGCATCCTGAGTCCTGGCTCCAGCCTCACCGTTTTTTTCGTGGATCTGCACCAAGGACTTGTAGGACTGCTGTGCTCTTGTCAGGCTGTATTGAGACTGGGGAGAGGAAGCCGCCAGATCAGGCCATGGCCAGCTGCGGCTTTACTGCCCCTCGCCTTCCATGAACTGTCACCCAGAGACCCAAACTTGTGCTCTGTTAACACGGAAGTGCCCCATCCGTAGGCCCCCTGGGGATGCAATCCCATAGCCTTCCCTTTCCAGACCCGTGTCCTCCCCGAAGTCTTAGGCAGCCCCTCAGGCCAAGGCCCTCTCCTGTTCCCACCACGGTGTCCCAGGCCCACACATCTGATGCTTCATCCGCTTGGCCCCTCAGAGTGGGCGGCCTGGGCCTGCTCGTGGCCCAAATGATAACTGGCTCCAGCCCGTCCAGCAGCCCCAGCTCCTTACTTTGTTGGCTCCGAACTGCACTCGTGCTTTCCCCTTCACCAGTGTGGCACTGATCTGCATGATCACGGACTCTATCGAGTAGGCACTGCTCCAGCCCTGGGAAACGGGGGGAGCAGCAAGTCAGGAGAGTTCCCAGACACCTCACACCTGCTCTCCAGCAAGGAGCTGCGTCTGTGGAGGGGGTCCTGCCCTTTACTCCCAGAACAGCCACCACCTGTTTGTCTGGGTCAGTGGGTGCCGGGCTCTGCCTGGCAAAATGTAAGGTTAAGCCCATCACCCCAAAGCCAGAGAGGTGCGGAGAAGCTCAGCCGAGCCCGGCCATGGCCAGCCTGACCACGGGCAAGAGACAGGCTCACCTGCTTGGTGAGAAGTTCCATGCAGATGGCACCTCCGCCCAGCACATACCTGCAGAAGAAAGGTTAGTCAGCTGTGCCTGGCAAAAGCTCACGCCCCTTTCTCACCTTCTGTAACAGGAGCTGCCCTCAGCCACTCACCCTCCTGAAAGGACTGGAGACACAACCCTGACAAACGGTGGGTCAAATGGAAAGTTATCCTGTGAGAGACAAAGGCAATGATTGGGGGGGAGGCCAGGATCTGCCACAAGACTGTACGGTGGAGGAGGAGGCCAGGGCCAGGAGGGAGGGGCTGGGAGGGAAAAGACTTACTTTAAAGGAGAAGTTGAGTAGGATGAAGTCTGCACCTTCTTTCTCTTTGAGGATCTGGAGATCGTTGTGCAAAGCGCTGTCCTGGTCAACTCTATGAAGCAAGGAGTCTGGGCTGACTCCTTGTCCTCGCTCAGGAGCCTGTGTCACCCCCCACTTCCCCTGGCTAGCAGCAGAGGGACACCCCACTGCCCACACCTGCTCCTGGGACTGCCCGAGACTCCCAGCACAGTGGCTCCCCACATACTAGGCCTCAACTTCCTTTCCAGTCCCAGAGTCCCCACTCACTTGAGGAGTTTGACATTCCAATCATAAAGACTGTCATTCACCAGTTCGACTGCATAGTTTCCTGGAAGGTGGAAGACAGGTGTTAGCAGGATGGTCCAGATGAGGACCCACCCAGGCCGAGAAGAAATAGATCAAAAGCTCCAGGTGCACCCCACGGACACGCAGCCAATCCAAGCCACTGGCTTGAGGAGCTCCATTCTGCTCGTCTCCTTAGAGAAGCTCCTGTCCAGGCCCTTCCCGGGGGCAAACTCACCACCTTTGAAACTCTGTGATCGGTATATATCCCTGAGCTCCTTCATCAGCCGGTCAGTGGCCTGCACCGAGCCAGATACTGCCCCCTGCAGGGAGGAAGACAAACGTCTCAGGGTCATGTGGTTTGGAAACACACATACTAGACTTCAGGGGCAGTCGGGCAGCTTGTTCAGGATCTGAGCAAGGATTAGGCACACCCATAACTCACCCCAGAAAACAGACTGCTCCCAGACTGATAGGTGATGGCCTACCACTTTCTAGCCAGTACCCACCACCCCTTGGCCCAGCCTCTCCCTAGAAGGTACGTACATTTAAGTAATCTTGCCTCTGGTTCTTTTTAATTTTCTCTAGGATAGCCAAGTTTTCTTTTCCGATGCCATCATCTTCCGACTTCTTGCCCTCCGCTGGCTCTTCCTCTTTCATTTCATAGTGATCTAGGTCTTCTGTGTCCTGGAGGTGGGATGGGATAGAGAAAAGAAACCAACACAGGTTGTGGAGAGGGGCCATCGCCTTCCCAGTCCCATTTGGTCTAGAGCTGCAAGTTAAGGATCAGTGGACTCTCCAGCAAGCTAAGGAACACAGCGTCCTTTCTGTTCCGGCAACAATTCCCAGCCCCATCCCTCCACAATCTAAAGGACAAGGCAAACCCCTCCCATTCAGTCCTACAGCAGAACTACGTATGGGTCTAGGGAAGCAGAGACTCATTCCTCGTTTCCCAGCCTGACCCTGCTCCAACGTTCCTAAAACTCTCCCTTGGCAGCAGCTCTTAATTCCTAGAATGACTTTGGCCTGACACTGTGAGAGATCATGTTTCACCAGGTGACACTGTACCTAAGAATTCTCAGGACTCCAGGTTAAAGGAGGAACCTGGATCAGAAACCTCATGCCCGCCCAGGTGCATGACCTGAGTCAGCACAGGCACCACTGACGAGAGGGAAATGAGGAAGGCGGTCCAGTGAGGGAGCTTGGTAGAGGTCAAGAACAGAACTCACCCTGCCTTTCCATCATGCACAGAGTCCACTGTGCATGATGGGAAAGCCCATATCCAGGATGTGAACCCTGCTAGATGCTGGGTGATGGCGCAGAGGGCTCTCTACTCTCTGACAGGAGTAAGTTTCATGTGTCATGAGCCTTTTGTGTCTTAAGACCTTAACGAAGTTATAGAACCTGGGACATTAATGCAATGCTTGGAGACAAAGCAATCCAAGTGATCTGGCTCTAGCAGGACACGGCAATACTGACTTCCTAATTATTACCTTGATGCTGACATCTACTGAATGTTTATTATGTCGGGCACTATACTGGATGCTGTACACACTAGCTCGGTTAATTCTCACAACCACCGTGCCTTTATGTATCATTACTCCCGTTTTTACAGGTAAGGAACTGAGGTCTAGTAATGTTAATTCTCATGTCCAAAGTCATACAACTCTTAGCAGAGCTAAAATGCGAATCAAATCTGTCTGGCTCTGAAGCTCAAGTTCTTAATTGTAATATTAAGCAGAAATACCTGTTTTTAAAATAGATAAATTGTTTAGCAATATGTACTGCATGAAGCATTTTACATGCAATGCCTCATTTAATCTTTAAGACAACCATGTATAGTAGATACCATAATTCTGTTTTATAAATAGGGAAACTGCAGCTTAGTAAAATTAGATAAAATTCCCAAGTTAAGATAACCTTGGAGATACAGGATGCAAACCCAGGCCTGCTCAAAGCCATGTGAAATTAACTTGCTGCAGCCTGACCAGTTTGGCTTAGTGGATAAGCAGTGGCCCATGGTCAGAAGGGTCTCGGGTTCAATTCCCGGTCAAGGGCACGTACTTTGGTTGCAGGCAGGATCCCTGGCCCCAGGTCAGGGCTAGTGCGGGAGGCAACCAGTCCAATGTTTCTCTTTCTGTCTCTCCCACTCACTTCCACTCACTCTAAAAATAATGGAAAAATATCCTCAGGTGAGGATTAAGAAAAAAGAAAAAGGAAGAGAAATTAACTTGCTGCTATTTGGTATAAACAGATTTGCACGTGACTGTCTTCAGTGGTTGATGTGAGTGCCCTGTCTCCTCTATTACACTGGCCATTCCTCCAGGTCAGTGAATATGTCTTTACTCACTGGCATTTTCCCCTCCCAGTTTAGACTGGAGCTCTGTTAATCCTCACCTGAGGATATTTTTTTTCCATTGATTTTTAGACAGAGTGGAACAAAGGGAGAGAGACAGAGAGAAACATTGATGAGAGAGACATATGGACTGGTTGCCTCCTGCACATGCCCCGTCTGGGGCCAGGGATCAAGCCTGCAACCGAGGTATGTGTCCTTGACCAGAATCAAACCCAGGATCCTCCAGTCCACGGGCCAACGCTCTAACCATTGAGCAAAACAGGCTAGGGCTACCCTGGAGCTCTGTACACTGTGGATGCTCAAAGCTGCTGATTGAAAGTTTCCAATGCTGCCTCAGGTGGCAAGCCTACCTCAGGCATCTCCTCATCTTCATCTTCCGAAGACACGTCTTCCTGTGTGCACTGCAGTGGGGAGAGGAAAGGTGGGAGATCAGAGCCCAGTGGCTTCCTAGAGTGCAACCTCTCACCTACTCCCCCAAGCTCCCAGGTCTGGAAGCTGTGTGCCCATCCATAACGCTGCCAGCCTGTCCACCAGCCAGATCTGAGTGGAAGCAACAGCCCAGGCAATGACTTCACTAGCAGCCCATGACTCTCCTCCTACCATATGCCAAAGTATAGAAGAGAAGCAGAGTGGCTATTTCTGTCACCCACCTCACAAATCCCAGTTTATTTTCCCCAAGGATTCTTGCTTCTTGGTTCTTAACAAGGGGCCTGAGACCCCAATGGCCACCAACTTCTACTGGACTCTCCCCGCCCCCCCTGCCCCTTCTTCTCCACGTAAGGTATATTGCCCATGAGAGTGAGTTTTGATAGGTGAAGCTATTGGCGTCCCATTTAACTAGATTCCCATCTGGGGGAAAAAGAAGCCAAGAGTCACGTGTGTGTGTGTGTGTGTGTGTGTGTATGTGTGGGGGGGGCGGGGGAGGGGGTCGGGTGCAGAGGAGCTGCTCAGGTTTGCCTCCATCGCCTGAGTGCTGTCTGCGGGGTAACTGCACAAGCCTGAGCTCCTCGGCTCCTCACCTGGTCTGCGGGCAAGGGCTGATCCAGCATCTCCACATCTGGATGCTGAGGGAGGTTATAGAGTTTACACAGGTCGGAGATGATCCTCTTCAGATGCTGCAATAGCTGGGGATAGGGGACCACAGTGACATCAAATACTTTCCAACCCCAATCCGGACGGGTACATGGATGAGCTCTTAGCTCAGAACCCAAATTGGTACCTAGTTCACTAATCTTATGGACCACGTAGCTGTGGGAGAGTTTACCGGACCCATCCTGGGGCTGGCATAGGTCTCCCCCTTTGTTCCTTTGCAAACAACTCCCCCAAGAAGTCTGCCCCCACAGTTCATCCTACTGCACCACCCACTTTCCAGGTGTCTCCCTTTCACAGTTCACCTTCAAGATATGGACCCAGCCTCAGCACCCTGGCCCCCTTACCAGAGTATTCCCCTTCTTTATGTCCACCAGCCTCTCCAAGACAGCAGCCAAGTTTGGGTCATCAGACTCCACCGACCAGATCGGGGGCACAGCAGGGTATGACTCCTGGCGGGAAAAAGAGCAGAGAGCGCGGTCAAGATGGGCAGCTCTGGGAAAAGCTACATTTTGCCGGCCCGCCACTCCTCACAACTTCTCGTTCCTTTGCTCTTTCTCCAGCTCAGCAGGTCAGTATCTAATCCGGCAGCTCTCCGAGGAACCCTAGGCCATGAGGAGAGACAGCGGCACAGCCACACTCTGAGAACAGTGAGGGGCTTATCCAGGTTCCGGACTTGAAGTTCTCCCATACCCAGCACCAAGTCCTCGTCTGATTTTCAAGCCCCACAATCAGCTGGGGAGCAGATCACCTCACCACACTCACACTGATGTGAAAAAAGCAGACGACAGGCCACTTTCAGTTTAACTGCGGAAGCAGGGACTGAAAACTAGATTATCTCCAGAATCTAAAAGTGAAAGGGGAGCAGAATTCCCACACCCCGCTTCCAACAGGACCCCTAAAAGGCCAGTTCCCCCCCCACCACTCTCTTGGGAACCTGCCACCCTCTTCGTCCAGGCGTAGGATGCAGGGCTCCACATGGCAGGCTGGAAGAGGCCCACGCCGCGAACATTCCCAGCATTCCTGAGCCACAGTGCCAAATGCAGCCGGACCAGACTCCCCCTCTCCCTAAACCAGGGGCCAGTTCGGGCCAAGTCTCCTTTACAGGGGCCACAGGGTGTCTAACCGAGAACCTTCTGAATTAACTTTCTTTTAGGGACAAAGATAGTAGATGGCCGCTGGCAACTGGAAGGGCAGGTAGAAGGGGGAAAACCTACCCGTAAGGAATGAGTAGCTAAATTCAGGAACAAAATTAACTCCTGAAGTTTCCACATCTGCCAAGGAAACCATTTCCACGTTCACTAGGGGTTTCAGCTCTGCCATGGTTCTAATCCTCAATGCCGGAGGGAAACAAATTATTCAAGATGCCCCAGTCTTCACCTAAGCCACACCTAGTGCGTCAATCTTAACTTCCTACTTCAGTAGGAGAAAAGGTGATGTGTGTGGTTGGTGGGGATGGAAGAGGAAAGAAGAAGTGGGATGCGCGAGTTTTGGTGGGACACCCTCCAATGGGAGCCGAGGCCTGCCTGGCCAAACCCTGACCTGGTTTGAAGGAAAGGGACAGAAAACAGGAACCATGTAAATTGAATCAGGACCCAAAGTCCCACACAATCCACAAGCCTGTCTTTCCCCAGACTGCTCCCATTTGCAGCCTGCTGCCTGCCCGGATCAAGTACTGTTCTCCGAGTCCTTAACCAGGGCCGCACGTGATCACCCTGGTAGTGTAAGTGCTACACCACACAGTACCGGGCACTCCCAGGGTACCAGCGGCCAGCCCTCTTCAAGGGGTCTGTGCGGGGGCACTAGCCCAGCAAGCAGAGGATGGAATGATGTCCACTGGGGAGAAAAGGAACTGTTTCTTGCTCGAAACGGGATCGTCCTCACACAGGACCACCATTCCCAGGAAAGGCAACACACAAGCCAGGACAATTGGAGATATCCTCAGGGAACAGCGAGGGAGTGGCAGATCTGCTCCCAGCTGGGGCAAAAGGAGAGTTAGAGGTTACACCAGAATGAAAGGGAACCCGGAGGAGAGGAAGAAGAGGGTCAGGGGGCTGCAACCACCACCAGGTAAATTCAGAGGCAGAGGGGCTGCAGGAGAGGCGCCTGGGCAGGGCTCTCACAGGTGGCAGCGTCCTAAGCGAAAGGTGCCGTGAGAGGGGGCATCACTGAAACGTGTCGAGCTCCCGACCAAGTCCTTCCAGCTGAGGTCGGGGCAGAGGCCTGGAACCGGGCAATGAGCGCGAGGGGAAGCAAAGGGCACTCCCAGGTGGCAGGGTGAAGCCGTGGAGAACCCCAAATCGTGAGCCTGGGGATGTGGGTGGGTGAGTGGAGAGGGGCAGTGGCGGCGCTGCGTGTCAGGGTGCCCCTCACTAGGAAGGGTCCAGGGGGGAGCTTCTGGGTGCTCGGCAGAACCTCCAGGGCCAGACACAGTGTAACCTGGAGGGAAGGAGCGAGCCCCGAGGGGGGATTCGGCCTCCTGGGTCCCTCGAGATAAAAAAGCTGTGTGGGGGGACCTGGAGTCGCTGAGAGGGGGCTCCTATGGGGGCGCACGCACGGGGGTCCTCACCGTGATGTTGCAGTGGATGCGGACGGGATCCCCAGGCACCGACCCCCGTGCGGGGAGATGCGGGCCGG